AAAAGGTCAGAGAGAGGCCTGGTAGAACTAAAGGTAGAACTATTTGTTCTGTGCTACCCTGCAGAATTAATCAGTTTGAAGTGTTCTCAGAGATCCTTTGTGCCACTTTCAAGACTTGTGTATTGCTGGGCTATATATTCAATAGCCATGCTGCGTGAATTGGCTTTTCTGGAGGATGTGGCTTTCTGTTTTGATGTTTGTAGGAAACCTGTCTTTTCAGATGAGATGAGATCTTCCCTGGTGGAAGACACATCTAGTCAGAGGAACTAGCAAGAAATCCATACCAACAAAAATACCAGTCATGATACTTAACATACAGTGAAGGTTTGGAAGGGGAAAGGAAATAAGGAATGTGACATTACTTGAAGCTGATTATTAGGACTTTAAAGGTTAATTGTGTCAAAACTCTAAGAAAAGCATTGTCTCCTCTGCAACTATGACTGGAGGTCATGATCTTATTTTTCTGGCACGTGTGTATTGTGTATCGCTTTTGTATTATGACACAATTATTCTGGTATTATTTGATACTGGAGAGGAATGGAGAGCTGCACTTGTACACAGTCCCAAAGGCCCCTCTCCTGCCATCACTCTCTATTTCATCAGGCAGCTTGTCCTGCAGTATTACTCACTCCTGGGAGGCTTTCCTCAGGTGGTTTTTTGTTTTTTGTTATTTTCGGGGGGTTTTTTTGAGAAAATTTTGCTCTTGCTGTCACTGAAAAGCAGGAGCTGAAAACCTATTTGTTTTGGTGGCAGATGGCATTTAGAGGGCATTTATTCCTTGAAGGCAAACACATGTACCCAACTTATGAGCTCATATCCACAGTGACTTCACAATGTGACTGTGGCAGAGATGCTGAGTTGCTTATTCCAGGCCACTCTAATTAAGCTCTCCATTAAAAGAAAGTAGTAAAAATAAGTTGTTTCTCTTTGTTTGTTTGTTTTGTCTCAGTTACTTCATGGGGATTGTTCTGTTATACAGAATAAAAGTATGTCTTCACAGAAATATTCAGGTTGGTACTGCAAGATATCCCATCCCTGGAGGTGCTCAAGGCCAGGTTGGATGGGGCCCTGGGCAGCTGAGCTGGTGGGGGACAGCCCTGCCCATGACACTGGGTGGGCCTTGAGGTCCTTTCCAACCTAAGCCATTCTGTGATTCTATGATTCTATGACTCAGTGATTCTGTGAAATGGAAATAAATTATGTGCCTAATAAATCTGTACACCCTGATAAGTCCACTTCACATCAACTCTCTTGGTGGCACATCTTTGTTAGAGCAGAGTATCAGAGGGCTGAGATGAGCTTAACTCTTGCTCCTTCCAGATCCTGTAGGTCCAACAGGATGCTGAGGCTGCTTTTGTTCCTCAGGAAGGGGAACAGAGGTGCTTGCAGCCTGTACTTGCCCACCATGTACCCCTACATGGAGCTGCAGGCTCCTCTCCTAGGCCCCAGGACTGGGAGCTGCTGATGGATATATGTAATTACCAGCTCTGGCTGAATGAATCTTTTCCCATAGAGTTTATGACTCATGAAGCTTTGCTGAAAAATTTATGGTCTGTTTTAGAGTTGTGACTCTAAGGAACTCTTGCTTGGGGGAGGTGAGATCCAATTCACTTTTGGTTGTTGCAGAAAAATGGGACATTTCTTACTGAGTCTGTCCCAAAAATTGGGTTTTAAAGTGATAAGACATAGGTAAGACAGAATCTCCTTTTTCTTCACAGAACAAAGGCCTTCATGTCTGTTTGCTCTAAGAAGGGCAGCTGATGATCATCAGCCTTTCTGTAATACCCATCATGTGACTTCTTTTTGCTTCTAGACATTGTGGGCCTTAATTTAGATTGAAAAAAAAAAAAAATTGTCAAGAGTTACCAAAAAAAAAAAAAAAAAAAGTCATGCTGAGATGTTGCAGCTCATCAAATCAAAATGCAAGATAAAACGATTACATCTTTGTTCAGATAACGTGGCAGACAGTAAGGAAGGCATTTCTCATCTCATGTGAGATGCCTTTCTGAGAGCTGTGACTCTTACAAGACAGCAGCTTCTTTCTGGAGCAGGAGCATGGCTATAGCAATGGATGCTCTGTGAACTCAGGCAGACATCCAGTGCCCACGGACTGAGCACGATTAAACAATGCTCATTTTTGAGCACATTCCTGGTTGTGGCAAAAGAAGATCAGTGACAGAAGTAGAGGAAATTTACTGCAGCAGTTCACCAGACTGAATACTGGGAAAGTATTGAGATGCTCCTGTTAGCACTGTCCTGAGTGCGCACAAGGAGTTTGCTACAAAGTTGGAAGATGTGTGCACCAGGGTGCATAGCTGGTGAGTAGTTTGCACTGCGACTCCTCCACATTTGTTCACAGAACTACAGAATCACAAAGGTTGGAAAAGACCATCAGGATCATTTAGCCTCACCACGAATCCACCACCACCATGCCCACTAGCCATGTCCTTCAGTACCACATCTCTGTGTCATCTGCAAACCTCCAGGGATGGTGACTCATGTGGTTGTAAAGCTGACTTTGATATCATTACACTCAGTTCCTCTTTTCACGTTCATTAGCCACAGCAGTATCATTCATGTTTTAATTGGACTAAACACCTCCTTTTTTCTGTCCTTATTTCAATTGACTCGACAATGTGTTTCCTTTTATAGATATCCAGAGACGCTATAAATGAAGATGTTGGTAGGAATTAATTCTTTAGCTTGTGTGAGTGATGCTAAGCATCTGTGACATTCATTAACTTCAAGTTACATCCATCCCTTTATGGATGGGACTGCTGACTCCACCAGGCATCCTCTGCAGGAACCTACAGCTACTGTCTGGAAGCACTGAAAGTATTCTGAACATGTTGCTAGTTAATGCCTAGAACTGCAAGAGGGGCAAGAGCTGCTTGTGCTGTGCCAAACCACACACTGGTGCATATGTTGGGAATTCCATGAGGACACTCAGGAGAGCCAGCTACTGTGAGCTCCATCACAGAGATCCTGGTGAGAACAGGTGAGCACTGGTGCCAGCAGCAGGGTAGATGGCACCCTTAGAAGCCCACATAAAGAGCTTTTTGCCTGGGGACACCTGGTTGTGCTGAAAGAAGCCTCAGGTCTGAGAGGTGTCGGGATATTTGTTGCCCACTTTGGGAGTCAGCAGTGGGACATTAGGTGTGCATGAAACTGGTGAAAAGTGGGCACCTACAACCTTTGAGGAGCTTTGACTAGACTGGGTCTCAATGCCATCAGAGGACATACCAAATCTGCACTCTGGGTGCAACTGTTCTCTCCTCTCCTCTCCCTTTTCATTCAGCCTGTCCATTATGAATAACCAACCAGGATCACATAAGAGACTCACTGTAACTAGTTTCACAACAGTTTCTGAGATCTTTGTGAAAGATTTCCACTTTACTCCACTTACTACCTTATATTGTGTCTGCATTCATAACAGCACGTAATTCTGAAAAGTAAAGTCCTTTCTCTTTGTTTCCTCTGCAACTTCTTTATCACTATAACAATGTTCTTGAGGAATACAGGATTGGTAAAGTTAATTTCAGGGATGCTTTCTCCTTAGAGGATGATATCAAGATAATATCAGTGATAACCAGCATGTGTTTTCTAGTGACCTACTACAAGTAGATTAGTAGTTGGTAAAAGAAATTTTTATAGTGACAGGAATAAAACCAAATATTTGTTTTGGATTGGAAGGCAGTCTGCTGGAATACCATTTAGATGTGAGTGGTTTTACTTGCTAACTGGTGACATATAATATTTGGCAATGCGAACACGTAGGGAGGAAAATATGGCAAAGCTATGGAGTTACATTAAGTTACCAGAGTCTGTGGGAGGACCAGATGTCAGATACAAGGTATCACAAAGTATCTGTCATTATGTCTGATTTTACAAATTGTATAATGAAGGGGTCAGGAATATAACCCTGTTCTGAATTTCAGCATTGCTGAGGAACAGAGAGTACTACTTGAACCCAGCAACCTGACTTCAAGGACTAGCTAGCCTGCAAAGCAAGAACAGTTCCTGGATTCCTGTTATGGCTGCATCTTAAACCCCAGCCTCAAATGTCCTGAACACCACAAGTGTCAGAAACAGAGCCTTAAAAACCAGGTCATTCTCTGCTAACTTTTAGAGACCACTGCACATCACTGTTCGAGAACCAAGGGCAGGGAAAGGTGCATGCTGAATTAATGGGGTTGACCAGAAATGAGGCATAGAGAAATCTTATGAAAGCAAGGGAGAAAAGCATGTCAGACTGGTTAGATCCCAAAGAAACCACTGCTGGCTCTCACAGTTTTAAACAGGAGATTTTCTGCTTGGCTACAGGTGGGTTTCTGTTAACGTAGATTGTTGTTGGATAGATTCAGGTGGAAAATGGTACCAAGGGAAGAAGTTCTAGGAAACGTACATCAAATTCTGCCCCTACATATCTTTAAGCATCCTTTTTTTCTTTAAAGAAGATGTTGTCAAGGAGTGTGCTACGGCAGCAACATCCTGCAGTACCTTATTTGCTTCCTTCTGAATCAAAATATTATGGAGCTGTTACTGCATAGCCCTGCCGTGATTTTGGAAATTTAATCCTCAGCATTTGAGAAATCACACTCCTCCCTGCCACATAAACTTTCTAAGCAGATTCTCTGCCAAGTTTTAGAGTGTTCCAATTTCAAGTTATTTTGATCTCATCTCCAACATGCTTTTTTAATGTATCTTATCATTAGAGATTCCTTATTGTGCAGTTGCAGAGCTCCCACGCTTAATGCAGATGGAGCAGAGTTTAGCTGGGCTGCTCCAATAGCTCAGCTGGAGGAGGGATGTGGTTATTTGTTTAAAAAAAGCTCTGTTTCCCAAACCGTATGCTGCTGTGACTGTCCCCAGAAATGGAAGTGCTTGCAGAGCTGTGCTCCTGATGCAGCATGGTGTGGTGCCTGGTACCTGCAGCACACAGGTCCTGGCGAGGCCCAGGTGGGGAGTGCAGGCAGGCAGGAGTGAAAACACGATGAAAACATTCCAGACAAGAGCTGTGCAGGCATTGAAAGCTGAGGGCTTCATTTCTCCACCTTGGAAGCATTTAGGTTTGATGCTCCAGAGTGCTGACCGCAGCTGGCCATGGCAAGGTGAGCAGTATGTGCTCAGCCCAACACTGAGGCTGAAGTGGTCATTCACAGCAGGACCTCAGTATCTCCACCACAGCATGTACTACTGAAGAAAAACTATTTGCATCTCCCCAGAAATCTAGGCATTGCATCCTGTGAAGCATGCAGCTGCAGCAGCATCCAAGCAATCACACCAACTAACATCCAGGAAAGGTTTCAGAGAAGTTTTAACAAGCGCTTCGATTCACCCACCATCTTGACACACAGAAAGACTTTGCTCCTGTCAAAACTCTCCTGTGACACTGGGGAAGCAAGCAAAACATTTTATTAGGAGAGTTTTTCTCTCCAGGGGCTGCTGGTCCATACTTCACAATCTTGGGTAGTGTTCCCTTTCTCCCACCCTATCCTCCCTGAGATTTCAAGCCCTTCTCCTGCTGGGACAGTTAGGCAAATAAACAACATGCAGCTATTTTATGACTTCCCTCAGTTTTCACAGTGAGACATTCCTATGCAGCAGTACAGCATAGCATCATCTGTGTGCACTGCTGGTTGGAGTGCTCTAGTGCTTGCAGCTCGGCATTGCACATTCCCTAATGTGTGCTGACTTAGATATGAAATTCTCCGGCTTTTGTTTGCTTGATTACTGGATTTAAAAATCCCTTACTTACTCAGAGTACTTCCTTTGCTTATGAAAACTAGTAGTAACAGGTGATGCTTGATGCTGTTTAGTTGAATCAACCCATTCACTCCTCACTGCAAGCAGCACAAGTTTCAGTCCTCTTTGTTATGCACAGAAGGAGTGTTCCCACCACAACCAAGCAAGGTCTGCTTCACCCACACTGCCTACTCTCTGCATTACCCTATGCCTCCCAGCAGCTCTCCATTATGCCTGATACGATGGATGTGTGGTATCAGATGCTTGCTTGCACAAGTGGCCAACAGCAAGCAGAGCTGAACTGCTGCCAAGCGTGTGGGCTGTGACCATGCTTAAACATCTGAAACCTCCCCTCCTGGCGGCAGCACAGAGCAGGCGTGGTTCATTTTTCTCATACAAAACCATCTGTGAGGTCAGAGAAGGACAGGCCTGGGGAGACCCTGGCAGCTTGCAGGCAGTTTTTCCTAGTGGTGGACAGCAACAAGCAGTGAGAGGGGCTGCCTAGGAAGGTTCAGCTCCCCCCCAGCAAAGACCCTTGGAACAATATCTATCAAAGAAAGACAGCGAGGCCCTGAAGTACACCAAAAGAAGGACAGTGACACTGCAAAGGGTCTGTAGGCATAAGTCTTAGGGTGTGTGGTTGATGGAACTGGGTCTGGCAAAAAGAAGCTCAGGGGAGACCCTATCACTCTCAACCACGATCTGAAAGGAGGTTGTGGTGAGGTGGGGGGGGGTCTGCCTCTTCTCTCAGGTAACAGAGATAGGATGAGAAGGAATGGCCACAGGTTGCACCATGAGAGATTCAGGTTGGATATAAAGAAGAATTTCTTCTCAGAAAGAGCAGTGAGGCAGTGGCAAAGGCTGCCCAGGGAGGTGGTGGGGTCACTGTCCCTGGAGGTGTGGCACTGAGGAACATGGTCAGTGGGCATGGTGGCAGCCTGACATCAAGAGCGGCCTTGCCTTGGGACAAGGAACAAATCTCTTGAGGTCTCTTCCAGCTCTATTTTTCTGTGAACACGTCTAGGTTTCTCCTCTGCATCTCTACTCTTAACCTGATGCCCCCAGCCCACATTGGGTAGCAGTCACTGGCAGGTGCCATCCTAGGGCTGAAGGGTGAGGGGGTAGTCCTGCCTGTTCTTAGAGTTCCCATAGCCTTGAAAAGTGCATGAATCTACTGAGCAGAAGGTTCAATATTTTGTAATTGTTCTATTATTTTATCATTTAACATTTTTCCTGCTGTTTAAAGACTAACATGTTCAAGGTTCAGCTCTGAAAAGACATTTTGAAAGAAAAAAGAAAAAGCACAACAAACTTTCCCTTCCACTCACTGCTACAGATTTGTTGGATGTCTTTGGATAACCATTTTCCTTGTTACTGCCTAAGTACTATCAGCTTTCAAATGCTTGAGAGAATTTTGTGCCTGCTGAAGGTTTCTTGTGAAATGGGCCCATACACCACAATTTTCACGTCAAATGGATGTTATAACTGATAGTTCTTTTTTCCACCAGAAGTTTGCTGGGACAGTTTTGGGAAAAAAAAAAAAGTCCTGTCAGAAAGCTGTTGGGGATTGTCTTCAAGAAGGAGATATGCAACATAACGTTAACTTCAACTTCTGTAGGATTTTAGCATCTCTTTCTGGCAAGGAGTGGCTCTCTGATCCTGACGCTGGGTCTCAGCTGGGACAGGATCTCTATATTTAGGTGATGCTAAATTCTAGTTCCTTCTTTGTCCCTCTTATTCCTTTCTTTCAGGGGAAAAAGCTGGCAAAGACATATCCACGCTATAGTTGTAGTGCCCATGGGTCTCCCTGACTCTCCTTGTACAGTTCTGTAACCCCATCACTTATCTATAAATCACAACTTGCCTTCCTGACAGCTGTGTTTCCAGCCCATAATCAGATTAAATGGTTGCACAGCAAGCACAAATCAGGGTTTGGCTCACAAGAGCACACTGATGTAAGAAGCTGCCCATGAATCTCCTGGAGTGCTTGCAGCCCCCCTGAGGTGCCATCACTGGGGCACCAGCAAAGCTCTGCCAAGCTCCCAGCCCAGTGAGCATGCTGATTTCATGGGATATATGTTCAACCTCCTGCCTACTGGATTTGTGTCAGTTGATTTTTTTTTTCCTAATAAAAAAAAAAAAAAAGTCCTGCATGCTTAGATAAGAATATCAACTGTATAACAAAAGGTTGTACAACTCTGTATTGACACTACGGGTGTTTTGGGGGTCCTTTCCTACTGATTTTGTTGTTGCTGGCATCAATTTAAAGCATGAGATTTTTTTGAGAATCATAGAATAGCTTGGTTTAGAAGGGACCTCAAAGATCATCTAGTTCCAACCCTGTGCTATGGGTAGGGTAGCCAAGCACTAAATCAGGCACTAGTTCAGGGTGCCCAGGGCCCCATCCTACCTGGAGGTGTTCAAACCTCCAGGAATGGAGCAGTCTCCACAGGTGGGCCTCAGTCTGCTGTGTCTTGTGACTGATGGTTCCTTAGCTTACAGGTAACTTGGGAGCCCCTAGCCCAATAGCCAGCATTGGCTTTTGACATATCAGGCCTTTAAAAGCAAGTCTTCCCATGCTGTGTGGGATTCCAAGCTTGGAGGCTGCTCGGTCTCCTGATAAAGGACATTATACTCCCGGATCTCCCAGTTCCCAACCTTTCCTTCAGCACTAGGTACTCAGCAAAACAGCAAGTTACATTCTAGCAAAGTGCTAACAACTCAGAGGGAACATTCTGAACATGATCAGAAATGAAATTACACACCAAGCAGAAGAAAGCTCTGCAAAAATAAATTTCCTTTGAGTTTTTGGCTCTGCAAATACATTTCTGCCAAGGAATGGCTGGCCTCCATGGCCTTAGAATGGAGATGTGCAGGGAAACCTAAGGCAGTGCACACAGTGGGTAGAGGCACCACAGGCATTTTCTGGACGAGCAGGCTCCTCCCACATCAACAGGACATCCATACATCCAATGTCCTCAGTAACACCTTTAGTGCCTCTGCAGCCACAGTGACTAACTCCTGAACCACTGCAAACCAACCATCAATCATTTGGGTTGGGGATTATCCCATCTACTTGCTAAGGTCCGTACTTCTGTCAAGGGCAGAAACAAGGCTCTCAGTGAGAACACTCCCTAACCAGGCAATTTCAAACTCTGCACCATCTGAACCCAAATGTAATCTCTTCAAACATTCAATTTTGGATTTGATATACTAGACAGAAAACCAGACCCAGGTCTTCAAGGTGAGGCACTGATTAAATCTCTCATTTTACACTCTACACTGATATTATCTCCTAAATATTTGGTTCTGTCCCCTAGCCACAAACTTCCTTGCTCTTCATTTTGGGAGTGATGAGAACAGCTCTGTCTAGCAACACTGTATCTTCTGCATAGATCATACCCTGTGCTTGTGCTAGCAGTCATTCCTTCCTTGACAGAGGAAATTAAAGAAACCTATTTTTATCATCTCTGTGATTAAAGAAATTCAGTACCTTCCTTGCCTACGCAAGCAAAGAGTTTCTTTTTAATCATAGCACCAAATGCAAACAAGCCCACTTCCAGACCTCTTATCACAGATTCCTAACACTCCCCACATTCATCATATTGACTAAATGATGAAATAATGTATGAAAAATGCCTCCAAGCAATGAATGGCATCTTGATTATAGGAACACACAGCATTTCAGACTGGGGAAATCTGAGGAAACTCGCTGAAGTGAGCTGCAAAGCAGCTGCCGTAAGAACTCACAGACCACTGGTATGAAGGAGATGGCTTTTTCCACAAGGCTGTTGTGAGAGAGCTGTTATAATGTGTCACTGTGGGTACAGTCCTTGCCACCCGGCTGCAAATCTGCTTCTGGCTGTCAGTCACACAGTTGTTATGCTTTTATTACCACCTTTTAATGGCAGAACCCTTAGTAAAAGCCTAACTTGGCTCCTATTTCCACACCCTCTGGGAAAAGAGGTGAGGAAACGGCAGCCCCATGTGAAACCTTCCTGGCTCAAACCTCAGCAGCAAGAGTAGGAGCTGGGACGTCTAGCTTTTGTTTGTATTATGAGGCTGTAGCCTGCAGTCAAGCCAAGGAAGCACTTGCAGAAAGATGCTGCCACATGGGCTGTACCTGCCCAAGCTTAGTGCCAAACTGCAGCCAGGCAAGACCTATTAGCAATGACAGCAAATTGCAGGGTCAGAGTGGTACTGAACCCAGTCAAAAAGCAAAATAACATCCATGCTGTGTCTAGAGCGGCTGCATACCTGCTGCTGGGTTTTGCCAATGAGGAAGCACGGCCCCTCCGTGGTTGTGTCCCAGATGTGTACACACAACTGCCTGCAATAACACAGGTATCTCATAAGTCATTCAGTTGAGATTCTATGCACTTCCTGAGGAGAAAAGTACTAATAATAACTACAACTGTGGCAGATTCCCTGCTCATGTGTGGGTTTTATTTTTGTATCCTTAGAAAAATCTCCTCATATGTTAGTTCTTTTCTTAAACTAGCTATGTCACATAGGCACCACAGCTTTCTTACACAAAGATAACTGCCTCACCACCTTCTGCCACCCAAAGTTCACATGAAAATAGTCCTTTGGCCCCAGCTTGAGTTACTTGAGTGAATCACAGTATCACAGAACGGTTTGAGCAGGAAAGGACCTCAAAGCCCACCCAGCCCCACCCCGTGCCGTGGGCAGGGCTGCCCCCCACCAGCTCAGCTGCCCAGGACCCCATCCAACCTGGCCTTGAGCATCTCCAGGGATGGGGCACCACAGCTTCTGTGGGCAGCTGTGCCAGCGCCTCACTGCACTCTGAGTAAAGAATTACTGCCTGACATTTCACCTAAATCTCCCCTCTTTAGTTTAAAGCAGTCCTCCCATGTCCCATCGCTATCAGAGTACAGATCTGAGCTATTAGAGTTATTCATTTAGAGACTACCACTTTCTATTTATATCTTAGTACTTCAGCAAAGGAATTATTTAATTGGTCACAATACATGTATGTACTATATTGATACTGCTTTACATCAACCCTTCTGCCTCAGTATACTCAAAACATTCAATTTCCCAAACTACTGATGTGCCATATATGAGCAAGGAGTAACATCATGAGCAGACTACTCTGCTGATAGAAAAGAATGTCTTGATTTCCCAGGCTGGTGCAATTCTGGCACTTTGCAAGACCATTTCCAATTGCAGTGCAAGACAGAAGGACAAGGGGAAACGGACAGAAACTGCAGCACAGGAAGTTCTGCACAAATGTGCAAAGGAACTTCTTTACAGTGAGGTGACGGAGCACTGGAACAGGCTGCCCAGGGGGATTGTGGAGTCTCCTTCTCTGGAGATGTTCAAGACCTGCCTGGATGCCTACCTGTGCGACCAGCTGTAGGGAACCTGCTTTGGCAGGGGGGTTGGACTCAATGATCTCTGGAGGTCCCTTCCAACCCCTACAATTCTGTGATTCTGTGAAAAGGGGTCTGCTGGTATTTCTATTACTGACACGCACTGCTGGAAATTGCATGTTTTCCCAGACTCAGAGTGCCACTGCATGGGGATAAGATCATACCAGCTTAGGCTCTTTCATGACAGCTTTTAGACTGAATACTCTCAGCTCCTCCCTTACAGACTGTGAGAATCCAAGAGCTTTTGACATTGTTCTGGTTGGAATAGAAACTCTTCCTTGCTGAAAATTAATTATTGAGGGTTCTGCTGCTTTATAATATATTTATGTACTCCTGGGGACCTCTCCCTTTTAAAGCACAGGAAACATCACCTTAAATACAGCTCAGGCAAGAGCAGGAACCAGCTCTGCTTTGTGGTGCCTTTCCTCCAGGTACAGCAGGACAGAATGCTATCCACAGATGGTGCTTGACTTTGACTGAAAGTGAGATGGAGGTGAAAGAACTGAAGAGCATAGGCTAAAAGCTCAGCATATTGCTATTCCATTGGCTCTCTGGAAAAAGAACAACAATTAAGAAAGCGAACCCAACAAATCCACTGGGCTGGGTTAGCCATTCAATTGCTGTTACGCTGTGAACATATTTTGTGGTCCTCCTACATTGAGTTATTCTCTTCTTACACATAACTTTGACCACTAAGGAAAAAAGGCCTGGCAACATCCAGTCTGGTGATTCATTCCACAAGTTGCTGCAGCTTCTAAAACACAATTTACTCAATGGCTTAATTGCAGGCTTACTGACTGCCACAAAAGGTTGGTTTTGGCCTTGGAAAGGGAAATAACCTTACCCAGGTGTACTTACAGAGCTGGCCCTGCCTCACAGCAGTGATTGCTGCTAACATAACTGCTAAAGTCAGTGGGGATTCTTAGGGGGGTCTCCTTAAAATCTTAGCACTGCTTGCCTTTTGTTGATCAATCACAAAGTCACAGAGCCATTATGGGGATAAGTAGGCAATTTGGGAAGTGGCACTTGGGTGACTTGGTATTATGTATCCTCCCAGCCACGCGGATTCAGAAAAACAGAGTCAGAACATCAAATGTGGCACTCAGAGAGCAAATCTCAATAAATATCAAGAAACAAAGAGAAAAGCCTTACAGAGGTTTCAGTCTCTTAAAACCTTGTGTGAGGAAACATCAGGCATTTTCCTCTCACCTTCACCTTTTCTCCTGCCCTCAATGACACCCTCCTCACACTGCAACACTCTGCTTCACTTGCTCAGTTTTCAATTGTGAGTTCGAAGGACAAAATTTTAGGTAGAAATAACATTAAAAAACATTAAACAAAATACATAACATATATACTATTGTGGCAGTGGGACAGATCAATACAATGGGAAAAGTGTTACAACAAAGGTGTGATATATAGAGAGGTGCTATAAAGGAAGAGAAGATTACTCACCCATATCAGGTTCCAGGCTCATAGGGGAAAGCTTCACTAAGGGGAGACCTCCAAAAAGAGCTCCCACAGCAGTCAGCCCTTAAATGAGGTCTAAGAGAGGTGCAGCCAGGCTCCATCCCTTCCAGTCACACAGCTGAATTGCCTTCACCTGTGCTCCCAGGGCTGACTGGGTCCCTTCCCCAGGTGCTCAATCAGTGGCTCAGGCCGTTACTCAACAGTTACCATACAATTATTTATTTATATAATATATAATAAATATATATCTAATTATTATATACCAGGGTACTACTATCTAGGGTACTACTACTAGCACAAGAGCACACCCAGGCTTGGTTTGTGGATGACCACCTACATCTGAAGGTATTTCAGATGTTTGCTCATCCATTCCACTTGCAAGTCCTATGTGGGGACACATATTATACGGCTTCCCCCTGCCTTTCCAGTACAGGCGTATCTGGTCACACCTGGAAATCCCAACAAGTATTGTCTGACCTGCATCTTTCTCTGGCTTCTTCTAAGTCTTAAATTGCTTCCCCAAATTTGCCAGTGAGATCCAGAGACCAGATTGAAAGCAATTTAAAATTTGGCCGATTAAGCGAGGCTCAGCGGTGCTGGCACTGCACTGGATATGTCACCAGCTGCCTTTCTTCTCTGCTCTACTTTGCTCCAAAAGACAAGTGACTTCAAACAGAAACATTTTCCACATTTCTCAGGTGTTTTTGAGCAACCTAGTTTCTCTGAGCCACTGCCTGGAGCTTAGTTTGGCAGCTTCCCCCAAGGGCAGAGAGAAGTAGGAGGAACACAAGTACTACCGCAGCCCCTTTCACTTCTCCCATATGAAATGCTTGCTGCCAGGTACAGCCTCACTTCTTCTTCTGCAGCACTTCTTTGATGTAGCCCATGGACATCTCAGACATCACATTTGTGAGGGAGAACCCTGCAGCCCCAGGCAAACCCCTACAGCCAAACCTAGCATTGGTGGCTGTGGCCACTCATCATTTGATTCCCCATGGACTGGACAATGCTCTCAGATTCAGGGTTTGAATTTTTAGTGGTCTTGTGTGAAGCCAGCCGTTGGACTCAAGGACCCTATGCCCCATCCCTACAGGCACCCAAGGCCAGGTGGGATGGAACCCTGGGCAGCCTGACTGGTGGGGGGCAGCCATGCCTACAGCAGGAGGTAGGGGCTGGGTGGGCTTTGAGGTCCCTTTCAATCCAAACCATTCTGTGATTCTACGATCTTAATGGCCCTTTCCAGCTTAGGATACGTGTGATGCTATGGTTCTATGAAAAGCAGGCAGTTTAGGGCAGTAACCAAAGCTGCAGTGGAGGCAGGTCTCCATAGGGAAGAGAAAGATGCAAAAACTGCTCTCAGTCAGTTTGATCCATATGGTGCAAAGCCTTGCAAAAAGGCAACAGACTTCATGTGTCCCAGTTTTGACATCACCATCCTGTTTCCTGCCTATATTTCAGTGTGCTAATTGCTTGGAAAGGGGTGCTGGGAGGGGGGAAAGGATCTTACGCTCAGATCTTCATGTAGGTGCTGTTGCTAAGAAGCAGGATAAAAAAGAAATTAACCTTTTTTTTCTTTTCTGGAGGAAAGGTTGTAGGGAAGGACAGGGCAGAGCAACCCTTTCAGCTTCATGTGAGGAAGATGCTGTTGCACACAAGAGATGTTGGAGTGAAACAAGACCCCAGCCTTCTTGCAGACAACAGCTGCCCCTCACTGCTCTGCACTGGATGGCATTGCAGTATGGAAGAAAGCACCAGACTCAGCAACAAGGAGGGGTGATTAGCCTGCATGTAGACTGGCTGCACAGAGTGAAGCCAAAGTGGGTGTCCTTCACATGCATCTGCTTGGCAGGGGTCCCAGACCAGTGGCTGCAAAAGCCTGCTGAGAGCTCCCTTCTCTGGGACTCACATGCCCACATCATTGCTAGCACCTGGGCTCCTCCATCCCTGCAGCACTCTCTGTGCTGTGACCTGTGTTTCCCTGCCTGTCTTCACAGCTGGGTGGGCAATATTCTTTTTCCCCCTTGCTACTCCCTAGAGCTGTTTCACTGACTGCCAAGCTCTCTGTGCACAGAGCCCTAAGTAGGGCACGCTGGTGCATCTCCCACAACTGCTATTTTATCATTGTCTGGAAGACACTATTTTGCTGTCACCAATGTCTTGCTTGTTCGGCAATGCCAAAGCCTGTACCAAGGTTGTCAGATCAGTCAGACATGTACTGTCCTGTGCTGGAACACAGAGTCTGCCTGTGGGGATAAGCTAGTTTGCTGCTGATTTTCCTTCTGGCCCACTTATGTCATTTTCTGTCCATCATGACTATTATCTCTGAGCTGCCTCTGTATGAAATACTAACACCTGTTAATTCCTGCACTTCAAGACCCAGCTGTATTTTTACTGACTTTGAGAAGCTAACTCCATGTTCCTCCACTATTTGGGAGAGTCTCTCCCTAGACTAAAAATGTTGGGGGGAGGGGGCATCTACGCAGGGGTTAAACTGATTAGAAAAAGAAAATTCAGGAGATGAAAGCAGGAAAAATAACTTGCATGAAATGCCACATTTTGATGAAACTCGTGTTGCTATTTTTATTCTTGTGTTGTTAGGCTCTCTCTGAAGTAGCTCTCTCAGCAAAGAAGCCCAGAATGAAAGATAGACTGATTAACAAAGCTGTCTGCTGAAGAAACACTGATGCAGTGGGTGGTGATCTTATCCTGAGCCAGCAAAGTATTTGTGCAGTGATGCAGCAGGAGGGGAACAAACTCCTAGCCATGTGCCACCAATAGTAAGCTTCAGGGTCATTCAACAAGTGAAATTTGACCAGCACACAGTGGCCAGTATAAGCCAGGTGTATGTGCTCATGCATCATATGAAGGTAGGGAAGCTGTTCTTTAAGTCCCATCTTAAATTACTGTACCTTTGTGGGCACTGGAACTGTAGAAGCATGTACAAGTTTTCAGAGGGTTCCTCATTCTGAGATACTCTATGATTATTGTCGTTGCTTGTCCATTCATATAACAACATTTCTCCCCAGAAGATGGGGATGTGGGTCTTCACTTTTATCTCCAGTGGTCACAAAATCTACTGTGTCTATTGACCCTTTACATTTGGAAGAAAAGTCAGAACTGTTAATATTCACTAAAAAGAAACTAAAAACACAGAACACAGTCTGCTGTGGTCACTACATTTCTGAGCTGCTAATCCATTCAGCAAATTGCAAAATCATAGAATCACCAAGGTTGGATAAAAAGATTTGTTAGAAAAAAAAGTGAAGCACTGTGCTAAAAAATTATACATTCCTCTTTTCTGTCCTACTTAGTAGGAGTAAAAACGAAGCAGGTCCTCCAGGAGAGCTATTAAGAGCCCTGTGCACATCCAGCCCCCACACCTGCCCTGTGTGGCTTGCCCAAGGAGGAAGGCAGGCAGGGCGGGGATGCCTTGCGGCGAGCTTTCCTTTACCACAGGTTCCGTTCTCAGCTATGCTTTTATTCTAGGGCTAAAGAAAGAGAAGTAAATCCTCCTGTTGTAATTATTCTGAGAACTCGATCCCAGAGTGGCACCGATGTACCAAGAGGTTGCAAGAACAAAGTGGGGTTATTTTTCAGAAAGAGTTCTCAAAAAAAAAGGGCTGAAATCCAGGATAGAACATCAACTCTGCGTAATTAACAAAATTTTCCCCTTTGCTATCACATTCAACAGGCCATATAGCAGAGCTTCTCCGTCCTTTGGAGACATTAGTTTGTATATTTTTCTAAAACCAAGACAAGTCTCTTGGTCACGCTTCAATGCGTCCCCACAGCTAACTGAACCGTGGTTGCTAGAAATGCACAGGAAGGAAAAATCACCTGTCTGTTGGCTTTGGAATTAAATGCTCAGACCTCCTAGGGCCTTGGTAGCAGGTGTGAGTGACACAGTCTAAAAGAAAGCACCTAATCCAGGTTCCATGGAAACCAGCAGCAATTCCTTACAACTGCCAGGCAGAGAACCACCAGAGTGGTAAAGATCCATTTCACAGCAGCAGAATGAATACTATACTGACTGGAGCTGAAAGATGTAGAGAAGACTAAGGGAGAGGGTCAACTCCTGAACTCTTTCCAATGGCTGGAGAAACTGCAAACAGGGAGCACATAGAACAGAGCAGTAAAGGCCAGAGAGATGATTTAATTAAATGTGATGGAGAAGCGTTCATCTGCAGACACTATTTGTTTCACAGTGTGAATTAACAGTCTAAAATAAGCAACCTGAGCTTTAACTCAATTTCTCATAGTTTACCTGGAGAAAAAGTACCTATATCTTTATGTAAATATCAGCAACATTTGTTGGAAATCAACTTGGAATTTACCTTACCTAAGATGGGAGACATATAGCTTAACAACAAGATGAGTTTCTTCCCTGTATCTCCTCCAAGCCCAAAGACAATGATTATTTGGCATAATTGTTTGAATAAAAACTGCTAGTATACAGGAAATTAGGAAATTAGGAAATTGGTCAATTTTAGAGTCTGTTCAAGTTAGTAAATGATTACATGATTAATGTGTAACCCTTACTGAGATGTAAGGTTTTAATGGTTACAGGGATTGAGCATACTTATTGGTTTTGCAGGGGACAGCATCAGATAGTTTGAATGTTAATATTGTGTGCAGACTGCATCTCTTCTACAGTTTATGAAAACAATCTGAAATAATTCTGAAAGAAACCTGTGGGATTTAAACACCAAAGGAGGAAAAAATACTTTGTCTTGCAGGATTACAGAAGAATAGGTGTGAAAATAACTAGGAGATAGGAAAGAAGGTAAAAAAAAAAAACAACAAACAAATGTGAAGATTTCTTAGAGAAAGGCGAAGATATTTCCATGCCAACTGAGAGCCACTGGAATGTGTTGAGCCCTTCAAGCAGCTGGACAATAAAGTTCTCAGCTTAGTGTTGCTGAGAAAGAAAGTCATCAAGTAGAAGTGAAGTATTGTTCAACAGCTGCTGTGTCCAATAGTATTGAGTGTAACCTCAAGAGATTCCCCTATTTCCACCGCCCTTCCCT